ATAAATTTGGTTGTAAACATGATAGACATGGTCCCCTCCTTGATAGAGGTTGATGGCCCTGATTATAGAGGAATTTAAAAAGTAATTATAACTCAGTGTGATAAGTACTAGAGAAGGGGGGGAGGAGTCTCATATTACTTATGTATTGTTGTTCTACAGATTATCCTGAAACTTAGCAGCTTCCCCAGAGAAACAGAACTGATTGTGTGTGTGTGCGCGTGCGTGTGCGTGCGATGTATATGCTTGTATGTATACATATATACACATACCTGTGCACATATACATCTATAGCTCTATTTATCGAGAAAGAGAGAGAGAGATTTATTCTAAGGAGTTAGCTCATGCTATTATGGAGGCTGGCAGGTCCAAAATCTGCAGAGCAGGCCAGCAGGCTGGAGATCCAGGAAAGAGTTATATTTCAGCTGGAGCCAAAGGTAGTCCGCGGGCAAAATTCCCACTTTCTTGGGATACCTCAGTCTGTTTTCTTCTAAGGTCTTCAGCTGATTGAAGAGTAATCTTCATATTATGGAGGGTAATCTGCCTTATTCAACATCTACTGACTTATATGTTAATTTCATCTAAAAAATACCTTCATAGCAACATCCAGATTGATATTTGACTAAATATCTGGATACTGTGGCCTACCCATGTTGACATACAATATGAACCATCACAATTAGGAACCTGGGCATGGCTTGGGGAGTCCTCCAGCTTGGGGTTTCTTACAAGTCTTCAGTCACGGTATTAGGCCAGACACACAGTCATCCCGACTGGGGCAGGATGTACAGAAACCCTACTCAACTGGGGGAGGGTTCATTTCCAAGCTTACTCAGTGGTTGGCAGGGTTCAGTTCCTTCCGTGTTGGACTGAGAGCCTCAGGCTGGAAACTTCCCTCAGTTCCTTGCCAGATGGACCTCTCCATTGGGCAGCTCACAATGAGGCAGTGGCTATCATCAGAGTCAGAGGGCAAGAGAGATGTCACTTCCCATCACTTTTGCCATACTGTGTTCATTAGAAGTCACTAAATCTAGCTCACACCCAAGGTGGGGAAGAGAAGGGGATTATACAAGGGTGTGATACTGGTATCTAGTTAAGCAAGAGAATCAATGGAAGATCCTTTCTAGCTTAAAATATTTTAACTCTACAGTGAGAAACTAGAAGAGGGATGAAATACTGTTGTGGCCTAGGAAGATTCACTGAAGAAGGTGAGGCTTCTAGTACTCTGTGAAAGGCGGGTTGACACACAGAAGAGAAGGCACAGCAGTGGTTCTAACAAGTAATGTATGTCTGAATCACCTGCATAGCATTTTTTAAAATTTAAAAATTCAAAATTTCCTCCACTGTGTCCAATTCAGAAGATTTGGGTGATTGTCATATACCCCTAGTTGAGATTCACTGTAATATAATGAACAAACCATTCCTATTTGACTCCAGGGTTTAGGTCATAAAGAATCTGTTTTTGTTTTTGTTTTTTTAAGATTTTATTTATTTATTTGAGAGAGAGAGAATGAGAGACAGAGAGCACGAGAGGGAAGGGGATCAGAGGGAGAAGCAGACCCCCCACTGAGCAGGGAGCCCGATGCGGGACTCGATCCCAGGACTCCAGGATCATGACCTGAGCCAAAGGCAGTCGCTTAACCAACTGAGCCACCCAGGCGCCCTAAAGAATCTGTTTTTAAAGTTAGAAAGGATGGTGGGAACAGTGTTCTTAATGAGGAACTTAGATCCGATCCTTTAGACAATAGGGTGCCATTGTAGGCTCTTCAGTAGTGGATATACATAATTAGGATTGCATTTCATTTTTCATTTATGTAGTCATTCATTAATTTTTCTTCCAAATATTTGTCACCACCCTAGACCAGTCAGAGAGGATGACTGATCTTTGGACTGTTTTCAGGATGAGCTACAAGAGGGAAAACCAGCTAGAAGCTTAGGGGAGTACATACAGTATAATATCATGAATTGGATGAATGGGAAGAAGCATTGGTAAGATTTCCTATCCAGTGGAAGGGATGAAGAAGGGAACGATGCTACCAGGAGCTTTGCCGATTCATTCTCCTAATGCAGACCTCCCTGGGCCGGGAAGCAGGTGGGGATGGGGAGAATCCAAGCCACTGTGTGCTCCTAGCTCTTCTGTTCAGTACAATATTGTATGTGTCTGGCAAGGACAAAGTAGCGTGGCTCAGTAAGCCCTTGAAAAGAGACTTCAGAGGGACTACATTTTAAATCTATAAATGATGGGATTCCTGCTAAGCTTCTTTTGAATTAAATAAAGTCCAGGATGGGGGAGAATAGGAATGTTCATTAATGGAAGAAGACAACATTTCTAAATGAATGATGCAAAATCAAACACAGTCTTTGTTTTCATTGCTTCTAGAGAATCAAAGTCACAGTCCTTCTGTGACTCTGTGCTTATAACAATATAGTACATCTTTTCATTATACTTCCCGGAATAAAAGGATGTATAGTTTCTCTGCACAGTGACAGACATGTTTTCTTGAACAATACCCTGTAAAGGTCACATTGGAGATTTGAGTCACAAGCCCTGTGATTTAAATTTGAAGCTAAGTTTAAAAGTGGTATGTCTAGAGCTTGCCAAGTTCCATTAAAAGCCATGGTGTCATTTTGGATTATAGTTGAATAAAACAGGATTCAGTGAGATACTGTATCTTTCTCAGTAGCAAAACATAGATTTTCTTTGTATGATTCCCTGACTGTGTTGTTAGGGTATATATCTACTTTCACACCAAATCCTGGGAAATAATGTCTAATTTCATGGACCTTTTTTTTTTCCTAAAGTAGCTCATTTTCTAGTTTTTCAATTATCTTCAGAGGATTTCTGTAAAAGCCTAATCATTTGTGCATGTTTAGTTATGGTTGATCTTGAATGCTACCTTTCCCATGGCAGCCTTCTTGATTCCCTTCATCCCCTACCTCTAGAGAGGATTCCAACTCACTAAAGCTTGGAAGCTCTTTTTGCCTTCCTGACATCATTGTGCCAAACACTTTCTCTAGGTTATCTTACTTCGTGATCACAAAAACCTGCAGGGGAAGTATACCATTTCTGCATTTTGCAGAGGAGAAAGCTGAGGGTAAAGAGGCAATTGGCCCAGGTCTTATTGCCAGTGAGTGATGAAACAAGAGCACCATTAAGCAGTCTGGTCCAGACCCCATTATTTCAAACACTTATCAGTATGCCCTTCTTATAACTTTTGACATCCTACTCACATACCCCTGCAAGAAAGTTAAGAGGCTTGAGGGGAGGACTACCTTGTTTATTTCCATATTCCTGGAGTTTTATGACTTAACTGATTTACTCATAAATAAATGAGCAGTCAACAAATGAGCCAAGTGAATACTTGAAAACTGCCATTTGGATTTTATGGGAAGCAGGGTCTACAGGTTTAGGCATATCACCTGAAACTTTGCTTTTGAGTGATATGAAGAAAACAGAATGCTAGTATACAAGGCGTTAAGAAGAGTTTCTCTTTATTTTTATCCCTGTCATTTAGGTTAGATCCTATGGTCCAAATACTTTTTTTCCCAGTTCTTTGTCAAGCTCTTCCTCCTTCTTTTATCCAAAGATAAACTGGCTCTGTTTGGCTCTGTTCTTTTTTTCTTTTTCACCCCATGTAATAATCCCAGGGCTCCAGTCCTACAGAACTCTGAAAGTGCTATCTCTCGTTTTCCCCTGTTTCTTTATTCATGACTTAAGCTTTTGTTCCCAAAAATAAAATAAAATAAAATAAAAAATTTTTTACAGTTATGTGTGACCTTCCTGCTCCATCATTCTCCAGCTTTTCTCAGGAGCTTCCCAAATGCAGTGTGGATATGAACTAAAAGTCCCCAGGACTCAGAAGTCAGTGGCATTAAAAGCTGGAACTTCAAGGGAGATTTTGAAGTGGTTAATTGGTGTGCAGTGACCCTGAATCACACTGTGAGAGGAGGTGCTGGGACAGCCGGTGAAGGGTGGGCTGAGGGGCTCTCTGTGTTGGCACTGGGGCAACCGGAAGCATACAGCTATTTGATGAACAAGGAGAATGGAAATCTAGATGGTGCCCTGCCGAGGCTTGCCCAGTCACCTTCAGACGAACGTGGCCACGAGGAGATTCACAGAAGGTGTGCCTTCCAGCCCCAACTGTAGCAGGCACACCCTCAGGAAAAGGCAGGAGTCCCTTTCACTGTCACAGGGAAGGAACAGTGGGTTAGGCAGGGGCAGCAGAGGAAGAGGATGGCGCTGCTATCCTTGATGGAAACAGCACACAGACTGGCATGGCGGTCCTAACAAGGGGCCTACAGAGTCTCCAGTGAGTTTTCTCTCTTTGCCTAAAGAACAAAGATGGGCGACAAACTGCCCTGCTTAGAACTGAGGGTTTGTATTTCTGTGACTGAATTAAGACCGGATTATACATAAAACTAAAGCAAAATAGGAAGGAAAATGTCTGAAATTAATGATGTTTGAATTAATTTAATAAATTGCAGCACTGTCTGTTCTCCTGTCAATTCTGTTTGTGAAATAGTTTTCTAAATCACATAGGCCACAGAGTGAAATGAGGGAAAGAGCCAGCCCTAAAGCCTTTGGGCTTTGCTAGACTCAGATTCTAAGCCGGACCTCAGGAGTCTACACTTTTCTTCTCTCATCTGTGAAATGGAGCCCGTACTCTCCCATGGCAGGCCCGTGGTTCAAATTAAGAGCCCATGTATACACAACCCCTTGCTGTGCTGGTAGGCACTCCATAAATACCAGTGTTGCTCTCTCTGTGCTCATCCCCCATGCACGGTTCTTCAATACTCCTCATCTTTAAAGGTTTTTAGATACAGGACTGAGCGATTACTGTCCTACCCTGCCATTTGTGAATACGACTTTAGGGGTATGAGATAACAGAAATGAATACCATTATATTAATAATGACAGTAGGTGCTACACAGACCATGATGGCTGAGACTGGCAGTAATGGTACTTGGATGCTTCCTAATAGCGTGTTTTTCTTTCTTTCCAGAAGCATCTGGCATGTCAGAGCCACACGGTCTTCCATGGGACGCCGTTTGTGAACAGATTCCATTTAAAAGACTTTTGTGAATACATGGTCTCAACCAGGTCCCCAGAGAACATATTTGTCTTCTGATCTGCTGGAGGCCTTAAGGTTTGTGTTAATATTTTTTATTTCTCTTAGTGAAGATATTATTAATTTTGAGGGATATTTTAAAAATGGATCATAGTCATACTCTACTGTAATAAGAACTCTGGGATAGATTATGCACAGATTATAATCCTTTGATTTCATTGGGAAATAGATACAAATGAAAAGAAATTTGATATGCTACTGGTCATACTTATTATTGTATGCTCTGTAGGATGTTACAAGGATATTAGAAATACAATATTCCCCACATTGGCTTAAAACAAATTTTGTCTTTTCGTTCATAAATTCTAACTGAATAGATTCAATAAATTTATATTGAGTATCTATAATATATATCAGACTTTGTTAAGTACTATCAATTAGTTACAGACCTTGTGGATAAATTATATTTTGAAACATTAAAAAATCAAAACTGCATTTGTCAGTATCAACTAGTATTATTATTATGACAGCTTTTAAATTAGAAAGCCTCAGTGGCCAGAATGTTTTCATTTAGTTCTACCAAGGGGTACTCACCCTGTGATTTCTAATGATAGAACAGGGTTGTTGTTGTTGCTTTTTAATACATATATATATTAACAGCTTGAAAAATTGCTAACAGTATTGTTGCTTACTCAATAAGAAAAGCTTGCTAGCAAAACAAGCATCTTATTTTGGAAGTACATATTTTGCTGTTGAGGTAGTACCAAGTAAAACACTTTTATTTTGAAAGTACTTTCTGACAAACACCTACCCGAAGGCTGAATTCAACCTATGCATCTTTCATAGATGGGAAATAAACAAGGGAGAGGGTAAAGCTTAGTCCACTGAGTGGACAAAAACTAAATGAAGAGCAAGGGAGAAGGAACATCGTACTTTCCCTAGATTGACATGTCTTTTTCCACAGGCGTTTATTTCATTTGGTTGGACTTTGATTCTGTCCACAGTGACAAATGTTTTCTCCCCTAATGGCCCTTTTCTGTGGGTTTTCTTTTTATTTCTTTTATTTCTACTGAGAAATCAAAGTAGATTTCACCGCAGTGCTGGGCTAGATTCCAGTTTCCTACTGCACCCTTTGTTGTCGGGCGGCCTGATTGACTCACTTTGAAGGGTGAGGCGCAGGACATACTTGGGGAGTGGGAGGGTGGATGACAAGCTGTGCCTCCACTTTCAGTTCTCCAGTCTGTCAATTTGGTAGCAAATCGTAGTGTGTAGAAACCTAATAAGTGTATCCATAGAAACAGAAGTGCTAGAAAGGACTTCAGAAGTTACCTAAATGTTCTTCCCTCTTCTGTAAGCAAGATCCCACTTGAACTGTCTGAAACAAATGAGAATCTATTTGTCTTCCAACCTTCATACCTAGGTATCCACTTTCCTTTTGAAACCTAATATAGGTTCTCCTTTGTTAGAAACCTTGTTGTCAAGAAAGCCAAAGTAATTCCTGACCTCCTAGCATGACAATGCATCCTTCCCCCAGGGAGAGAGAGAATTTACTGGTCAGAGCCCCCCTGTCTCATCACAGACTCGGTTCTCAAGTCATCCTTTTTCTCTTCAGGAGAAATGAACCCATTTTGTTGAACTTTCTCTGTGAAATTATATAATCCAAAAATTGAACAAAATGAAGTTCTTTTCTGAGTCTCTAAAGATCTCTATATTGGTCCACTTAAGTTTTGGAGTCCAGACTGATTGAAGGAGCATTAAAAATCACCTATCAGTGTTTTTCAGTGGGACCTTTATTGATATTTCGGAAGGGGCAGTTTTTGATGATGCAAGATTGTCCCATGAGATTTAGAACGGTCAATAGCCCTGGTTTCCAGGACCCAAAGACTAGTTAGCTCCCTCAGCCCCCAGTCATTGTGAGAGATAACCAGATTCAGACCTCCTTCACATCTGCCTGCAGAGGATGAGGACTGCCCAGACTACAAACTTCTCACTTTGAATTGAGGATGCTGAAACCGGCAGAGTTGAGTTAAGGGTGGCGCTGGGCCTAAACCCCAGTTTTTAATGCTGGGTACTGTTCTCTTCCCACTCCATCATACTTCTATTCTGGGCTTACATTTATTTCTCAACTGTCCAGAAACAGTAACATGCATATATGAATGCTCTTTTGGAGAACTAGAATTTCTGGTTTGGTGTTTAAAGGACGTCACTGCTGTTTGATATGGGAACATGGCTATGGGAAAGATAATATCAGAACTCAGTGCAGGAAAATAGCAAAGAGAGGACAGCTCTGAGGATTTAGAGAAAAGAAAGGACCTAGACCCCAGAGGAAATAGTGGGGTTGATGTTGCAAAGGTATTAGCTCAGTCACTGAGAAAGGGTAGAAAAGCTGACATCTGAGGGAAGACTGAAAAAGGTAAGTAACAAAGGAATATTTCTTCACTTGCTTTTCACCATGTACCCTAGTTTCAACTCCCTGCTCCACATCATGGGCTTCCTCAGAAATTTGAGGATCAGTTTTTGGGGAGGTTAAAGGGCTCTTGATTGCAGCTGAAACTCTCCCTCCCTTCAATCCAATATCCCTTGCTTCACCCACCCTCCATCAACATTTCTCCTTTCTCCCTCACTTGCTTATTGATGGCTCCTACTTCATGCTTCAAGCAGAGAATGGGGAAATGACTTGATGACTTTTATCTTTCTGGATCTTTCCAAGGTCTCAAGGAAAGTTGTAAATTGAAAGAATGTAAAAACATCTGAGCTTTGGCAAATTTCTCCCACAGATGGTCTGTTAAGGCTCTGATTTCTTGGGGAGCCTGGGTGGCTCAGTCGGTTAAGCATCTGACTCTTGATTTCAACTCAGGTCAAGATCTCAGGGTAATGAAATCGAGCCCCTCTTTGGGTGCCGCACTCAGCAGGGAGTCTGCTTAAGATTCTCTCTCTCCCGCTCTTTCTGCCCCCTCTTCACTCACGCATGTGTGTGTGCTCTCTCTCTCTAAAATAAATAAAATCTTAAAAAAAAAAAGCACATCCTAGAAATATATTGTAATACATAATATGTAGAGCTCTCTCCCTCTCTCACTAAAATATTTTTTTAAAAAGCCTCTGATTTTTTGAGACATTTACCATAATATAGGTACCTTTCCATAGAAAAACAAAATCCTATGAATCACTATGAATTTTTTAACATAAGAAATCATTTAATTCCCTAGTACAGAAGTTACTTATTAACAAAATGAGAAGTGTTCATGACTTACAGATACAATTCTAAGTAGGAGTATCTGGGTTGTTATAATAATATCTGCCTTACCTTCTACAAAATGTACATGGTAAGTACAGAGTTGAAAATAGGGACTGGACTAGAGGACTCTGTTTTCTAGTAAAATGAGGATTCCTACATGAGAAGATTTATTATATATATCTAAAAAGGCTTACGTGTATCAAGAGAGAAATAATAGCATCAAAGGCTTCCCTTATCTTATGTTATTTAATTATTGAAAGCTTTATGACTGAGTTCCTCAGCCAGATTTTTTAAACATGGTGATTTTCCTGTTCTGTCTTCTTTTGTGCACCAGACACCAAGTTCTATTTGACTTTTCAGAGTTTCTCATTTCCTGAAATGCACTACTAGCTCTATAAACATGGAAGAATAAATATTAACTTTATGAGACCATGTTCCTCTACTAGCTGAAAAATAGCATATAATAAAAAATACAAGGATGTAATATTGAAAATTATAGGTCAATACGCCCTCTTATTGTGGGTATATATCTAATCCTCATGCATGGAGACTATTTTTTCAGAAAAATGTGTACTGTGTAATACCACTTGTGTCTGTGATATATTTTTACCCCTCATATTTAATAATATATCTCGTGACTCTTGCCTCACTAGTGAAATGTTTCAGGCTTATTTACCATTACGATTTAAAAAAAAAAACAAAAACAAAAAACCCTCTGGCTCTTTGCTATTAATTCCAAGAATTGCAAATGATCCAAAGTTAATAAAATGTTTGCAGGTTTCCTTCCTGCTAAAGTACCTTAGTACTCAGTGAGATCCTTGGAATTACATTAGGAAAATGCTTAATGGTAATTTTGAAAGAACAGGAAGTCTTCATGAGGGGTAAAAAAAAAAAAAGTCAAGTGTGGTCTTGAACAGCTAATCAATACTTTAAATGTGCAAATTGTTATTCCCAAATCCAGACTCTAATTATATATTTTTAGCAGCAATGAAAATGTGGCATCCATTAACCATCCCTTAAACCTCACATTCACACCCCATAAGGAAGAAAAGAGTGACTTACATGGATAGTATATGATTGAAACACTCTTTTAAAGCTAGAGGATTCAATATAATTATGTTCAGATAATTCACTTCCATCTGGAAATTACCATCCATTTGCCAAAAGTGCCACTGACTTATCATATCAAGGACAGTCTTTTCTTCTACATTAACTCTCCATTGTTCCTCTTGCTAAAGATGGAAAATAATCAGCCTTGTGTATTCTAGGCTCAAAAGTAAGAAAATTGGACTTACAAGAATAAATAGTTCATTCTAATTGCCCAAATTTCTACAGATCTTTCTTTTAAACCACACAATTTTTAAAATACATTTTTTATTATGAAGTGGTTTAAACCTACAGAAAATGAAAAAGCCTATATATCCACCCCCATATTTTAATATATTTATATTATCATATTTGTTTCGGATCTCTTTTTTTTTTTCCCAGGTTCATAATTTATTGTACAAATTGAGTATCACATGATGAGTTGACATTAGCTTCTCCAGGCATGGGAACTTAACAGATGAGGTGCAGGTTAAAATTCGTTTATGTTGCTTTCTCAGCTGGTGTTTTTTTAGACCTTAACTTGAAGTATAAGATCATCAAAGCAGTGCCTCCATGTGTGGCCAGTACACAATTCATTCTACCTGTGAGAGTATAAAAGTTGGAATATTTTTTGATACCAGTGAAATGGAATTGAGCATCAGTTTCTGGACCTGCCATGATTTCAATCTTGCAGAAGGCACCAATTCCGTCCTGGATCTCTTTTTTTTAAAGCTAAAAAAAAGTCACCATCCTTCTT